AGCTTCCTGTTTTCTCTGTTCACCCCTGGTGCTGCTTTTTTAACAAACAAACAATTTGGGGGGCTTTACACTGGTATCTGTCCTCAAGCACCATTTGCGTTGCTAGAGAAAAGGGGGCTTTTCTCAAGTTCCAACCTGGGATCCCAAGGATGTTTTCACAAAAGCAGCCGCACAAGACCTCTTGCCCATGCCTCGTGGCCTTACTCACCATGGCTGGAACAGCAAACCGACTCTTGCTATAGCCAGTGGTTGTGATTATGTTGTGGCTTGCAGTGAAGTGTATTGAGGGGTGGTTTTTTTAATAACAAAAAATTAACCTTGCACCAGAAACAATGTATGCACTGTCAGTGCTACCCTTGTGCTTTGCATTCCTTGCAGCTGAAACCTTGTTTGTCGGCGCATCCTCCACACCAGGACATAGATTTTCCCAGATTAGAAGGCGGAAAAAGAAGACTCGGGAGGACATGATCAATGAGTTAATGCCTCCGAGAGTGATAAGAGCATGGGCGATTGCACTGTCCGAGGACATGGACAGGAGAGCATGCAGGGAACAGGAGTGGGCCATGCAGGAAGAGATTCTGTGGATTATGAAGGAGCAATCAGACATGTTGAAGCATCTGGTTGAGGTTCAAGAAAGGCAGCTGGATGCTAGAGTCCCTCTGCAGCCTATGCTGAACCTGCTGCCATCATCGCCAAGTTCTACATCCTCCTCCTCTAAACATACTATGAGGTGGGGGGTGGGAGTGGAGTTTGCTATCTCTTGCACTCAACACCAGGGGAGGGTACAAGAACCTGAAGGCGCCCATTCCCAGACCTTCTATTGTTATTGCAGTGCATCTGTAAGCAATCTTTCCTCGTTTCTCCCTCCACAGTGTTATCAGCCCTTTTGACCCAGGTTATCTTACCTTTTTTTGCTGTCTGTGCGTGTATAATAAAACTTAACAGATTGAGGAGACAAGGGCTCTTTATTCATTCATTCACACAGTGATTGGTGGAGGTGGAGTTTACAGGGAAGAAAATGCAATGGAGGGGACAGTTTGGAAGGAACAACACAGATAAGTGTCACATTATTCTGGCTCATTTCTGAAACTGGTTTTCAAAGCCTCATGGAGATGCTGAGCCACTCTATGGGCTGGTCAACACTAAGCCCCCAGTTCGAACTAAGATACGCAACTTCAGCTACGTGAATAACGTAGCTGAAGTCGAAGTATCTTAGTTCGAACGTAAAGGTACTTAACGCGGGTCCACACGCGGCAGGCAGGCTCCCCCCGTCGACTCCGCCTACTCCTCTTGCGGAGCAGGATTACCGGCGTCGACGGCGAGCACTTCCGGGATCGATTTATCGCGTCTTGTCTAGAATCAATTGCTTGCTGCCGAACCAGCGGGTAAGTATAGACGTACCCTATGTGCTCTTCTTATTGGCTGCCAGGTGATCTTCCTCAACCCCCCATCCCAGCAGAAACTTTTCTCCCTTTGTTTCTAGATATTAGGGAGCACACAGCAGGCAGCAATAGCAATGGGGATGTTGCTTTCACTGAGGTCTAACCTACTAAGCAAACAACGCCAGCAACCTTTTAAATGTCCAAAGGCACATTTCACGACCATTCTGCACTTGCTTAGCCTATGGTTGAACCAAACCTTACTGCTGTCCGTGCTGCTGGTGTACAGCTTCATGAGCTATGGGAGCAAAGGGTAGGCTGAGTCTCCCAGGATCACGATTGGCATTTCAACATCACCAATGGTTATTTTGCAGTCTGGAAAGGAAGTCCCTGCTTGCAGCTTCGGAACAGACAAAATTGATGTCAGTGAAATGGCCCCTGAGATCCACCAGTGCTTGCAACACCATTGAGAAGTATCCCTTTCAGTTTATGTACTCTTTGGCAAGGTGGTCTGGTGCCAAGATAGGGATATGTGTTCCACCTATAGCCCCACCGCAGTTAGGAAACCCCATCGCGGCAAAACCATCCACTATATACTGCGCATTGCTCAGAGTCAGTACCCTTCTTAACAGAAGTCTGTTATTGGCCCTGAACACTTGGATCACAACAGATCCCACGATAGATGTACCCACTCCAAATGATGCCCCACTGACCGGTAGCAGTCTTGCGTTGCAAGCTTCCACAGAGCTATTGCCACTCGCTCCTCCACTGTCAGAGCAGCTCTCGTTTTAGTATGGCTGTACTTCAGGGCTGGGGAAAGCTCTTCACGCAGTTCCTGGAAAGTGGCCTTAGCATTCGAAAGTTCTGCAGCCACTGCTCGTCATCCCATAGCTGCATAACGATGCAGTCCCACCAGTCAGTGCTTGTTTCCCGGGTCCAGAAATGGTGCACAACCGTGTCAAGGTGATGTATGACTGTCACCAGCAACTGCGAATTGCTCCACTCTGTCTTCCAGCAGGGCTGATTGTGTGGCATTACATTGTTCCGCATGGCGGCTCCCATATCGGCTATGTAAATATTGCAGGATAAGGCATGAGGTGTTTGTAATGCTCACAAGAACAGTATACAGCTGAGCAGCGTCCATGCTTATCAAGCTATGGCGTCCGTGCAGTTAACCCAGGCTTATGAAAAAGGCTTGGTTTGTTTGCCATTGATTTCAGGGAGGGAGAGAGGGATGTAAGAGCATCATGGGAGGCTAACACCATGTTTCCATAACCACCCACGCCAACGTTTTGGTCCCATGAGGCATTACAACCCCAACCCAAAATTCCACTCGGCTACATGCACGCTGGGATAGCTACCCACAATGCAGTGCTCCGTGCGGCGATGCAAGCCCTGCTCGTGAGGATGCACTCCGCTGACACAATGAGTATAGTGAGGTCACACTTGCTTCAATCGAAGGCTCGACGTCGACTTAGATAAAGTCGACTTAACTTTGCAGTGTAGACACAGCCTTAGAGATGCAGTACAAAACCTCACAGCCCAGGAGAAGGAGAGGCAAAGCTGGCTGTACACTGATCCTGTGCACTCCTGGTTCTGAGCAGCTCAGGATTCCAAAATGGCCCAGGGGGTAATTTAGGATTTCAGCTGCCCATGGCAAACTTTCTGAGTGGGAGCACCACCCACCATCACTGTATCAGATAACACTGTAGCCCCAACCTCTTCAGCGCCACCCCGAGCACTATCCATACAGTAGGACTAATGGGGCAGACAGTGGCTGCCTTTCACAATGCCTGTGCTGGGGATATCTTCCCTCCGACAGTTCTGAGACTTTTTATAGCATGAAGTCACCCCTCAGATGTTCATATTCCCGTGAAAAAAATACAGTGTGCCCAGAGACCAGGACACAGCAGTCGAGGCTAGTGGTTAGAGCAAGCATCACGCCTCATTGTGAGAGCAGGAGCCGGATGCCAGAGCCAAGGGTCAGAGCCAGATCAGAAGTCATGATCAGTGCCAAGGGTCAGAACCAGGTTACCTGGAGTGAGATAAGGCAGGGGCAAGACAGAGGCAGGGCAGGAGTAAGACTGGGAGCAAGTGTAGGAGTTATTTCAGCCATGAGTGAATGCTTTGAGCAGCTGCTGAACTGTTGGTGCTGCTGCTGGGCTTAAGAGCCAGTCTGCTGACTCTTCCAGCCAATCCACAGGGTAGCCAAGTAGACAGCCTGCTACAGGCCAGCTGCACTCATTAGAGTGCCCCGGGATCTGGCTCGGCTGCAGGCCCGTGATTCCTGACACAGTGAAATTAACAAAATCACTGGGAAGGAGGTGAACAATAAATATGGACTAGGCTTCTTGTCGTACAAGGAGGAACTAAAAACCAGACAGGATGAGCGGATAACTCAGGGGCTTTCCAATTGGTTGTGGAGCCCCTCACATTACAACATTACAGCTTTCAACTCCAGGCCATGATGGCAGTAGGGGAAGATGTTGCCTTTTGGTGGTGCAAGTAAAGGTTTTCAGGATTAGGCCCAAAGTTACTCTTCAAAGTTCCTAAGTTACTTTCCTGGCTTGATTGTTGCAGTGGGGTTCTAGCTGCTCTCCTTGCTTCACTTGAAACATCCTACGGGTGTCCCCGGTAGCGTTGTGGAAGAACAAAAGAAGAGATTTCCCTCCTGAAAATCCATTATAGTTTCTATGTTGGGCCCAGTGAATGCTCAGAAAGGACTTTGGAACTGCTGCATGAAATACTCAGTGTGATTACTAAAACTCGGAGTTTATGTACCTCACTATCTATTGAGATGCTGGGCCTTGATTTAAGCAGCTTCCCAATAAAATAGGGCATAACCCTATTGGAACTGCAGTCTGTTCAAAGATGTGTGGCTTAACTGATCTAATGGGGTTCTGGTTTGGTTTGGTTTTTTTCTTTGTGACTCAGTTGTTTCCAATCCATCGTTATCTACCCATTGTTTTTTTTAAAGCTAATTCCAGGTGTTGATATTAATATTTAAGACCCTGCATTTTGGATCATCATGTTGTACGTGGTTGACCTGATTTCTCTTTCTAAACCTATCCACAACCTGCTATCTCTTTCTGAGCTACCACTCAGGATTTTAAAGAATGGGAGCATAAACTTAGGCTCCTACATCTGTTACATCTGAGAAAGTGGCCTGAGTTTTAAAAGTGCTGAGCACTCAACAGGTCGTATTGACATTGACAGGAGCCATTGGGTGCCTAGAGCTTGAAGAACAGGCCATTCTCTTAGCTGCCCTAACACAGCTTTTGGAGCTTAACTCTAGACTCCCATTTTTTTAAACTCTAGGCCCTCGTAACTTCATTTTCACCCTTTGAGATACCAAATATTGGATATTTCCCGTGTCTCATGGAATTCTTCCCCTTTGTGAGATGTGTGGGGTTGACTTGTTATATCAGTTTAAAACAAAGCCTAAGACTTTTTAATTTGGCTTAATACCCTTCTTATTTCATGCTATTATACGATGTGCTTGTGAAAAATACTTTCTTAAATCTGCAATAAATTCTGCCTGGTGGGTAGCGGGAACAGAAACTGATTCTTCAGTAACTCTGACTTTTAGTAAGTGTCTTTTCCTGTTGTTTCTCCTTTTAGCTTTGCTCGTCCAGGAAAAGGGTCGTGGCTGGGTAAAGGCAGCCTGGAGACAGGACCAGACCAGTCCAGTATGTCATTGGAAAATCTAGTGTTCGGAGCTGGCTACTGCAAACCGACTTCATCTGAGGTAAGGGCGGGCAGGCAACAATGGAACGGTTACATTTTGACTTGCCATCTATGCACTCAACTGTGACTTGGATTATCTATGCAGGTACAGGGGAATGTGAAGGAGTAAGAACCCTTCTAACAGCCCTATATGGTATTCCCAGACTTTGGGTCCGAGTGTGCAGTCCCCACCCTGGAGTAAAAGGGCAGCGGGTGTTAGAGAATGAATGGAGTCTTTCCTTCTCACCCTCTGCTCGTTTTCCAGCGTAGCTGAGCCACTGAGGAGGGTATTGTGAATTGCTGTTGGTAAAAGACAAGAAACAATTTACAATTCCCTCTTGGAGGACGGAGGAAGGGGAGTAATTATGCCTCAGAGCATTGTCCGAGTCACCATGCCTCCTGTACAGCGTAGGCACATCCCCTTGCTCCAAGCAGCACCTAGAGTAACAGTGTATGACGAGGCTTGTTGCTTTATTAGTGACCTATGAAAAGCATCGGAATAGCAGGATTGTTACATTCTAGACAGTGGTTTTCAATCTGTGGTTGGGTCCGTGGACTGCGTTTCAGGGGTCTGTGTGGTCTGCAGATCCCTGAGGGTTTGTAGACTATGTCTAAGATTTCCAGAGGGTCCAGACCTCCATACAGATAATTTGACTACTAATTAGTCCATCTGTTAACTATTTAAATTTGCATGACGAGGAGTTACCAAGGGCTGTAATGTAAAGTTCAGTGGTCTCATTTGGCAGTTGGTTGCTTGTAAAGAAAACGTACTTTTCCCAAGTGGTATTCTATGGATCAAAGTATGCCTGAAATTTCAAAATTACTGTATATATGAGTGAGTAGTATCCTTTATGTAGAGCTGTAAAAAAATAGGGAGGTATTTTCAATGGAACATTTTGGCCTCTTGTCAAAATACCAAAAGCCAAAATATTTTTGTCTAAAACTGAAATATTTAAATTCAAAATGGTTCCAGCATGCCTCATGGCAGTTGTAGTTTTGGTGCCTTATGCTCCCGTTGTCTACTGTGAGCTGGGCTTTCTGGTCAGACTACATCTCCCATGATGCACCACTTTCTCTCTTCATGAGGGGAAGGCTGTGTGTCATAGAAGTCCTTGCCTGTGATCCATCATTGGAGATGCAGTCCAGCCAGAGAGCCCATCCTATAGAAGAGAACAGGAACATAAGGCACCCCAAACTACAACTCCCATGAGGCATGGTGGCACCATTTCAAATAAAAAATATTTCAGGTTTTTGTGGGGAGGCGGGGAAATGGTTTTCAGGTGTTTGTTTTTTTGATAAATATTGTTTGTTTTTTGGTGTGAAAAGCAGATTTTTTCATGAACAATTTCAGTTTCATCGCAAAGTCCAATTTTCCATCAAAAAAAAAGTTTCAAAAACAGAAATTTCAGGTTCCCAGTGGAATGTACTGTAAGTCTCCAATGCCGCCGCACCTGCCATATAAATCAGCAAAGCGTGTTTCACCCTTTCTGATTTCTCTTCAAGAAAGCTGGCTCCTGGGCAAATCTGGAAGTTCTGCAGCTGGCGAGCTGGTGTTCCAGGTCCCCCTCTGTGCCCAATCCGGGAAGGATCAGAGTCGGATACGGCCCCAGATAGAGGCCCATGGCTCTTTAGCTTACACGGTAGCAGCTCATGCTTTTAACTCTGGAATCCCTGGTGTGTCAGTTAAGATGGTGGCAGCTGCACCACCTCCTTCAGTTCCCTGCTAGGTTCCCTACCAGACTGAGGGATTCTGACACCACCCCAGCAGGGGCAGGATGGGACAGTGTGTACCCCTGCACACAGAGTCTGGAGGTAGTGTTGGGGGTCAGGTTTCATAGTCAATGCCCCATGGAGATAAGTGGGGCAGTGATACCCTTTGAGTTTCATCTCGAGCCGTCTGCAGAGTCAGATGCTGCTGAAGTTATGTTCCAGCTTCATTTGATCCGTTTTGTGCTGAAAATTCTGGTTTCTTCTGCCATTATGCACCTGTTAAACTTGGTGTTTCCTGCTTCTTCTTTTCATTTCTAGCCAGTCAGAAAACATCTTTCCTGCTACTTGTCATCCTTTCTTTTTCTGAGCATTTCTTCTTTGCTGGCTGTGGCCTCTGGTACCTGCTGACCTAGAAAGAAAATAGATCACAAAGAAAGAAAGCAGGCGTTAGCTTTGCAAAAGAAGGACTAAAGCCCAGCTGTTTCCTTTTAAAGGGCAGATATTTTGCATGTTTTCCCTTTCTCCCTTTGAAACTAGTTAAGGGCTTGAGGGCTCTTATATTCCCTGCTGCATAAAGGAAACTTAATCCTACCAAAGAGGAAACTGAGACCTGAGACCTCCAGAGACCTGAAGTGCCTGCAGGATCTTTCTGCTAGATTTCAAAACATTTTTTCCTTTTTGCAGTGTTTCAGAGTAGTAGCCATGTTAGTCTGTATCTGCAAAAAGAACAGGAGTACTTGTGGCACCTTAGAGACTAACAAATTTATTTGAGCATAAGCAATAGATCCTGTAGTGTATTATAAGAAAAATGGCTGTTTACAAGCTCGGGACATGATTTTGATCTTGGCTATGCTGATGCAATTCTGGAGTATATCCGTTGGCTTCTGTGGCATCTATCTGGAATTACACCTGTGTAATTGCGATCAGAAGCTGACTCATTTGTGGAAAGGAGTTTCATGGGTGTAATTTAGAGCAGAGTTTTAGCCCCGAATGTTAATTTTAGATTGGAATTGTTCTGTATTTTTGGGCCCCTAGCTCTCTTCTTAATGTCAGTCCAACACTTCAGATACATTTTTAATATGAAAAGGGAGGCATTTAAAATACGTCCACAATGGTTGGTGTTAAAAGAACAGACACCTTTTGATGTTGCTAATTTGAATCTTAATTAGCAATGACGGAATCTAACAAATGTCCATTCCATTCGTGCTTCTGCAACTGTAAGAGAGGATACACCATTCTAATGCTCTGCTTTTTGGGTATTGAAAAGTACGTTTAACCATCAGAGTTTGGAGACTATTTGGGATGATTGCTGTTCATTGTCTGCCATTTACAGTAAAACAAAGACTGTTAGTTAATATGTACACAGAACTATAAATGGTTTCCTACAAGTATTATGATCCAGCTAATCTTACAGCCATGCAATAGGGGCAATATTTTTTAGTGGTTACTTCAATGTCTTTCATTAGTTGTTTCTTTTAGACATGGTGTGGGCAGAGGGAAACAGTATTATGATCTGGATTAGGTTCCGAGTTTGAGATTGAGGCCAGTTGGGGGACTAAGGTTCAAAGATGATGTCAAAAAAAATCTTGAAAACTTGTCCCGTTTTCTTTTATTCCAGATGGTGGAACTATCTTGACATTAGCTATTCCTATGAGATTTCAAATATGTGAAAATCAGAACCAGAAAAGAGGCCACTTCTGGTTTTGATTCTTAACCAAATCCTTAGGGATTTGTTCAGATTTGTGGATTGATAATTGACCCCTCCCTCCTACTCTGAGTATGGATGTCCATCGAGTCTGACAATGACATCACAGCATCTTGTATGTTCTCTTCTGGCTGCACAGTAGGATCTGCGAAGAGCAAGATCACAAACAGGAATGTATAGGCTTCCATTGAAGACTTGACATGATGCTTGGCCCTGTTTTCAAGTGTTTACAACTTTATAGTTGCTCTCTATTCAGGTCTGTCCTTGACTGTGTCTTTGAAATTATCAATATTTATGTCACATGCTTAGAAATTCTGCTTAAGAGAGTCTTTGATGTATTTCTGTTGACTGTTCATTTTCCAGTTTCAGTTCACCATACAGGACTTTTTTGGGGGGAGTCTGTCATCATCCATTCTGATAACATGAGCTGTCCATCTAAGCTGAGCTTTGATAATCAGTGCTTCCATGCTGGTTGCTTTTGCTCTTTCAGTGATGTTTATGTTTGACACTTTGTCACTGGTGGACCTTCAGAATAGAGTGAAGATAGCTTGTGAATTTTTTCAAGTTGCTTGATGTGTCTGCGATAAACTGTCCATGTTTGCCTGTATAAAAGGGATGCTATCACCACTGTATTGTATAGCATCAGTTTTGTTGACAATTTGATGATATGCTGGTTGAGTATCCTATGGTGACTTCTTCCAAAAGGCTGGTTTGCTTTTCATATTCTGTTTGATAGTACTTGATCCAGGGAACCATCCCTTGAGATAGTACTGCCAAGATGTGTAAAGAGATGAATGTTCTTTAGTTTTGTACCATCAATGCTGATGTTTGGCTCAGTGATAGTACTTGATGGAGCTGTTTGGAAGACGGCTTCAGTTTTTTCCAGGTCAGATGGTGAGTCCAAACTGTTTAGTTGCCTCTGAGAACCTGTCAAGAATAATCTGTAGGTCACTTTCACTAAGACTACTAAGTGGAGAAAAATCAACCACAGAAAGGGTTTCAAATATGAGTTCCTGAAGGACTTTTGTCTTTGCAGTAAACCTTTGGAGATTGAAATGTTTTCCATCAGTTCTGTACTTTATGTACATGCCCGTTTGAAGATTGCCAGATCCGTAATTCAGAATGGCTGCAAAGAAGAGATCAAAGAGGACTGGTGCCAGCACGCTGCCTTGTTTCACCCCATTAGACATGAGAGATGTTTTAGTGAGGTCATCATCTGAGAATACTTTTGAAGTCATGGCTTTGTGGAATTGATTGTCATGCTACCAAATTTGGGCGGAGGGTTGTATGGGGTGCAAAAGGAGAAATTAGAGAATTTTTCACTTGACCTAGTACCTCTCGCCCTGAAATTTGAAAGGGTTTGCACACAAAGTCCCACTTTGTCCATGTCTGTGTTTTGTTGTTGTTGTTGTTCTTTGTTTTTTAACAGATGCTTCATTGCTTTGTTAAAAGGTAATGAAAGAATCAGGACCCCCTAGTTCTGTTCCCAGCTTTCCATCTAACTTGCTGTGTGACCATGGACAAATCACTCAGGGCCGGATATGCACAAGAGATCTCTAAGTTTGGTTGCCAAACTTTAGATCCCTAATGTAGGCTCATTGCATTGG